CTTCAACCCTCATCTAAGCCATCTGCAACTCCTTCTCATCGGTGACATATATCCCATCTTCCTTTTTTCTCTCTCTCTCTTCCTCCTTGTAAGTTATAATCACATTTATAGTATGTTTACTTACCAGGAATAGGAGAAGCCATGAATCAGGGAAAGGGTAATCAAGGAATAGGAATCGGATCAACTACTTTCCCTAGTTGATTCCATTTTTGATTTTGAGGGTGTTTGATGATGAATTTTAATGTGGAATTGAATCATTCCAATACTTATACCTTGATAAGTAAATATGCTAGTAATGATTGAGAAAAATAATTTATTTAAAAATCTTAGTATAGATTCTTTTTTCATACAAGCAATAGTCTAAACTACGAGGGGAATGCTCTCACACACACACTATTAAAGTGTCATAAGAGTTCGAACCTAAGACTACTGATATGCAAGTGAAAGCTCTTTTCCACTCTACTAGACCCTATTGACTTAATAGAGATTTTTTTTTGTTGTAAAAGAAAAGTACCTTTTATATAAATAAATACACAACTTGCATATTCGATGAAACTTGTGTAGTAGAAGCCAATGAAAACTTGCAATATATAAAATAAGGCAAATTCTTTTACTCACGTACCCTTTGAATTGTTGGTCCAAGGAGGTGTGAAAAACTTAGAACCGCAAAGGGAGATTTGCCATGGCCTTCACAAAAACTACGAAAGAGGAATTCTATTAAAAACCCTAGTCAACTCTTTGACCATGACCAAACAAAGGCGCTAACCTTTCAAAGCCAGTGGCATGTGTTGCCATGATCATGATATACATATCATGATCCACTCATATATGGATACAATAGTAATTTACCAATTTTTTGAATTTGGATAAGTATAGAAAGTAAAATTTGGGATGCTGTATAATATCATCTAGGAAAGAGAATTGGTTTTGGAAATGAGTAATTCAAATGATCAAACGAGGGCACATTTGTCATTTGACCCAAGAGTTTCCTCAGAGCGACGTAAATGACAACAGGTAGAGCTGGACTACCAGAAGAAACCCTAAACCTGCGTAAGAACTGGACTACCCACATTTCCATGCCACCCCCATCCCATCCTATGCATATGTATGCATGTATGTATATACATGCTCGACATGTATGTCCATGATGTTGGAATATACATGAATCATCATGCCATGGCCAATGGCATATGGGGGTGGGGCCACATCATACATGGTTTGACGCCGTTACGTTGAGGGGAAAAGGCAATAACGGCCGTTTAAAGCTAAATATCAGCTTAACAGCTGACAGTTGGAGGCTGACGACCTTAAGTGCTTCAAAAGAAGATTCTTTCTCTAATTTATGTATTTTAATGTGATAGTTGTTTGAGTTCCGATCCCGTATATTCCATCTTACAATATTAAAATGCGTCGTCTGCATCTATTGCTTTGCATGGAACACCTTGCTCTCCTATTGGCTGTCACATTATTAATAGGAAACGACGTGGAGCATATGGTACTCGTGGGTCTAGTTAATAATTTGGCTCGCGATGCATGGAGACAAATTCTTTTTTCTCTTTTTTTTTTTTTGTTTTTTTTTCCAAATTTTTTTATTCAAAAAAAAAATATATAAAATTTGTTAATTATTTTATCATTGAATTATGTGATGAAATTGTACTGGTTATAATGTAATTTAATAAAATTATTAAAAATTGTTAAAATTAAACAATTATATATATATATATATATTATATCCTAATTTAAGAATTATTCTTGCTAAAAGCTAACAAAGCTAGAAATCTTTTGACCATTTGATCATCATTAATATTTTAGTGTCTAATCTAAACTAATATGTTCATTTGTTTATTTTCTCACAATTAGGTGATGTAATAGCTTTGATTTGATTGATATTTTGTAAGGATGATATTTGAACCAGAATCAAACAAATGGTCACATTAAGATTTAGGCCCACATGTGATCCCTTAGTTATATTTTTATTTTATATGAGCGCTATTGAGGAAGAGGATAATCAAACTTAGGACCTTAAACGCAGAGGTAAATGCTCTTAATCTCTTAAGCTACGAACCCTGCATCCCTTAGTTCTTATTGAACGAGATTCCTCTTAATAAGTTTCCCATGTATTTATATATAAATGTAACATGTTAATCCTATCCTGAAAGTATTGAATATCGTTGACCTTTTTGCTTGAATCTACTTAAATGACAGTTCTTTGGTTTCCTTTAAACAAATAATATAGAGTTTGATAAAAAAAAAACAAATAATATACAGAAAATACATCAACATAAAATATACGTGTATATATATATATTTTCCCTGGGAAAAAAAAATTAGGCTCATCTATCTATTCTATATTGGTGCCAAATATTCCAAATATCCTGTTGAAGGGAATGTGTAAACTACACAAAAGATAAATACAAAAAATACAAAAGGTAAAATAATAATTACCAATTATTTAAAAAAAACAAAATATAAATAAAGGGAAGTGTGTAACATGTGTCACGTGATGAGCATGTGTAGGGTTTAGGGTATATCCGGAAAAACAAAGTATTTATTTTTCGGGCCGGGCCATAAGTTAGCAAACAGAACAATCTAAAAAGCAAGCCTCAAACCAATTGGATTCTTGCGATCCAGCCCAAATAATAGCACAAATGTATATTCAATTCAATCTAGCCCACCATACCAAACCAACAAGTATTAGCAAAAGCATGGCGTTACAGAGAGTAGTATCATATATGACATGTATGCCATGCATTTGTACTTGATCCATCGTCTGTGTTCTTCAATCATGGCATTGGCAGCTATAGAAAGAAACGCATCTGTTAAAACTGAACAAGATGTTTTCCTTACAAGGGAAGCTACCTGGGTAGATATATTGAGGCTTTGGAGCTATATATTAGGTATTTTTTGAAAGTATCTAACTTTTCAATGATCATAATCATCACGGAGTTTTGTGAAAACAATTTGAATCATCAAGGGATGTTATTGTAATTTAGGAGGTTTCAAATGGTTTTCACAAAACCCCATTTTTTCTTTTTCCGTCAAAAAATTGCTCATATAATAAATAAAATTCTTCAAATGATAAAAGTAACTTCAATGATTAGATCTCAAGGGTGTATGTGCAATCTAATATTTAAGGTTAACTTTGTATTTTGGAGAATTTTTCTTGATGACATCAACAATTTTTGGATGGAAATTAATGAAAGGGAATTTTTGAAAACAATTTGAATCATCAGAGGGTGTTAGTGTAATTTTGCAAAACCTTAGAGGGTTTTGTGAAAACGCTAAAACCTCAGGAGGTGTCAGTATAAGTAGCTTAAGAAAAGTATCTGGACTGTTATGACACTACACAACCACATTACAGGAACAACTGCACACAAAGTTTTCTTCTCTAGAAACAGGGTGCGAAGTAGTCCCATAGTATCATATGCCTTTTCTTCCAACCCACATTGTTACATGTTAAACAAGGTGCGAGTTGTGATTGATATTCCAAAATTAGGGTGTTTTAAGTTTTAGATATTAGCCATTGCAACTCATTTCCATAGGCACAAGCCCATAAATATGTTTTTACTAACAGCAACCCACAAGTTTCAAAATGAAATTCAAAATCTTGTTGAGAAGATAATAAATGTGTCATTAATTCTGATGTCTCACACAAAACAAGAAGAAATTGAAATGTATATTTTTTTTTTGGATACAATAGGGACTAAAGCCTAAACAAACAAAAAAGCTAAGCCACAACTTGCCTGGGCCTAGCCACACAACTAGCATTAGCAACTAGCAACTCAGAGAGAAAAGGAGGAGCCCGATCAAGAAGGTGAAACCCAAAAGGAAAATCAAAACACATAGAGGCCAACGCATCAGCATTATAATTCTGCTCACGAAACGCATGCTTAATAGAGCACTGCCAATTAGCTCGAATCTTCAACTTGCAACAATGACAAGGCTAAATAGAGGATTCGTAGGAACAACATGACTATTCAAAAGGGATACAACAGAGCTAGCATCACTCTCCACCTCAACACAACGAAAACCAGCATCCCAAGCCAAAGTCAAGCGCCAAAATATACTCCATAACTTAGCCTCCAAAATAGAACCAATACCAAGGTTTATACCAAAGCCTTTAAGCCCATGACTATTAGAATATCTCAATAAACCACCTGCCCTAATTAAATGAGTCTTAGATTTTCGGCCACCATCAAAATTAATCTTACACGTCTCAGGATTAGGAGCAATCCAATGCAAATGCACCACATGATACATAGAAGCATCATAATTATGATGAGAAACAGTAAACCACTCCAAAGCATATTGCAAAACCACATGAGAGAGGTTAGAAGGCATGAGAAAACCTTGATAAAAAACCAACTTGTGTCTCCACTTACACACAAACCAAAGATAGGCAGCAAAGATCAGAACCAAGGCAAACCATGCAAGACAATTCTTTTAGATTGTAAATTCTGAAATAACCAGTCATCAAACCCCATCGCAGAATAGGCATCATTCTCAGGAGAGAAAACAAAACCCTCCCAAATGGATAAAGTCACACTACAATCCATGAAAAGGTGCGTAATAGATTCCACTAAAGAATTACATATATGACATATCATATTTGAGCCAAACCCCTTCGCAGTCTTTGACCATTGGTAAGCAACTTTTATGACAAGGAACCCACAAAAAAATTTAAGCTTAGGGCAAAGAGCAAGCTTCCAAATAAAATGCCAATGCCATTATAAGAAATCCTCCCCACAATCCAAGGTACCACAAGCAGACTTAATAGAGAATGTACCATTTGAAGTAAGCTTCCAAATACATTGGTCATGACCACTTCCAACAAAACCAACATGGGTACTTATAATCAACTGCACAATATTCTTAGGTAGACATAACAATAAACAATTGATGTCTCACACTCCATCTTCCAAGAAATCACTTACATTTAACTGCAACATGTCCTCAAACAACTCAATGAGAGCATATTAGGAAAGCGGCCCACAACTTAGCTAATTATCAATCCAAAACAAAAGATCATCCCCCATACCCACTCTGCATTTAATGCCATTAGGAAGAATCTGAGCTCCATACAAAACACCTCTCCAAACATTAGAACTAGAATGAAAATGGAGATATTTAGCAGCAAGAACATCCCTATGACGCAAATACTTAGCTTGAAACACTTTAGCCCAAAGATCTTGATCATTTTGGAGTAACCTCCAACTAGGTTTGGCTAAAAGAACTTGATTCATCAAAGAAGTTTTCTTGAGCCCCAAACCACCAGCCCTCTTAGGTTTATGAATAGTATCCCAATTCACTAAAGCAGTATGGCCCCAAAGAAAATTCTTGTTTAGTTGATCAAGCTTCTCACAAACTGAAATAGGCAATTGAGCAGTTTGCATAGTATACATAGGGATAACAACAATAACATACTGTAATAAAGTAAGCCTACCAACAATAGAAAGTGTGTGACTTCTCCAAGCAGATAAACGCTTCTGAACCTTATAAATTATTCCTTGATAGGCAGCTCTAGTCACCCTCTTATGAATAAGAGGAACCCCAAGATTCTTCCCAAGACACTCATGTTAATATATATAGGCTGCACATATTAAAACACTAACCTTGATCGTAAGCCATTGAGTGATGTAGTGATAGTTGAATAGAAAGTAACCAAGTTCTTCTACTCAAAACAATCCTTTAAGCTATTATCTAGATGGGGTTTTGAATGCCTTTTGCTAGTCTGATTGTCTGAGCAGGGACTTGATATTTATATGCATTAACTCAAGATTCCTAGCCCATCAAGGAATACAAGAGCTATCCTAATTGCACTGGAATATGTTGTTCTAATCGATTACACATAAGGAATCTGTTGGAACAAGGATTTCTATAAAACACAACTTCCCTTAGAACCAAACACCAATTCTAATCAAGTTATTAATCAGTACAAAGACCTAGATCTCCTATGATGATTAGAAGACCACATTAAAGTGGTTTAAGACATAACATATCTAACATTCTCCCACTTGGTCAAATAATCATCAAAGCCTTTGTATGACTTCTATATGGCCATTGAACTAAAAAAGAATTGAATTGTTCCTTAACAAGTCCCTTTCAATAATAAAAAACTGCATGGAACTATCAAGATGTATTGAGTTAAGTCACCCAAGATCTTTATAATTACACATACAGATTTTATTATCACATAGACTCCATCGAATTAGAACCAAAAGATGAACATGACTTACTCCAAATGTGTTTTAATGTCATTATCATCTTAGTCCTTTTTATGAGATTTTGTAATCTCTTCTTGCAAAAACAGTCTTGACACTTTCATGAATTAGATGTCATATGCAGTCTTTATAGCTAGCTTATTAATAACCATAACCAACCTTCTTGTGAATATCCAATCGAAACAAAACAAAAAGCTCTCACTAATCCTAGGCATCAAGCTATCTAGTAAAGTCATGCTCGTTGGTTTGGAAAAGTGCAATGAGTTTCTGTCCAACACTTCTTCAGATTATTGCAGACAATTATCAAAACCAATATAGATGTCAACTTGAAGAGTCTTTCTCTAAACCTTTTTGTAGACAAAACTTGTGTAAAACCCTCAATGTTTTCTCTTTTACAGTCCTTATAGCTTGTCTTGCCTATCATGGAAACTTTAAGATTTGTCCTAATTGTATATACCCTTATGCAATGCTTTTATTGATCACCAAACTGTATACAAGAACCAATCGTTCTCCTGTTGCCTTATATCAAAAGACTACAGTTCTGCTATCATTCTACAATCGAATAAATATTGAGTCCAATATACTGTTACCAAAACTTTATGTCTTATAGCATGCAAAGTAATCTTGCATGAACTCATATTGTAATATCGAAATATGATATATGATCCTTCTTGAACATTTTAGATTTGTAGTGCCACCAACAAGCCAAAATATAACTTGCAGGCATCAACTTCTGAGAGTCTTAGCAATATTCTTCTGTAAATAGGACTTATACCCGTTCACCTATGTACAATTTCCTTAGTGATTTCCTTCGTGTTGTCCAACACCCCTTCACCTATATATATATATATATATATATATATATATATATATATATGACCAAACTTTCTACAGCATCTTGAACTTTACTTTAAATTCTTTAACTTCTTTTCTTAAAACTTTCTTCTCCCCTTTCTTAAATGAAACCAACTATTCATAACGGAAATTTCCTTACTTATTTCTTTATTCAAGAAGGTAGAGTTGTAAGTGTCAACTCATAATATATATAAAGGAATTCCAGTGCTTGAAAGTTTATTTGTAAGTTCTAGATACCCGAGAAAATTCCAATTATCCCTAGACTTTTCTTTTCCATTTGAATTTTATTTCTTTCATTGTGTGATCCATTCAACTGCTTAAATCATGCTAAGTTTATAGCAATTGTCCACAATGGTGCTAAATTCCTTGCTCTATATTACCTTCTTTGGTTCATTAATTTCCTTGTCTATCTTGCACTAGAGTAACGAGATGCAATTCTCTATGAACAGATTTTCACTAGTCTAAAAACAATGCTTCTTATTCCATATATGTATCAAGAATTCCTCACTGTTTCCTGCAGTTTTTTTGGACTCAGAACTTCTATTTGCAGTTTCTTCACAACCATCTTTTTAGTAATTCCAAGAACTTTTATGAAGGCGATTTGAAATCAATTCTTGTATCCAATTTCCATTACTTTAAATAATTCAACTCTATCGTGGTCCTGCAATCCCAAACTTGATTTGACTTCCGTTTATTTGAGAGCCTGATTCATTAAAGATCTCCTTATCCCCTTTCTTGAATGATCCTCTTATCTTACTTAAAACATTCTCAGTCTACTGCAATTGTCCAAAATAATGCTTGTTTTCTTGCTTCTCATCAGTCTATTTATTTTCCTTGTTGATCCTAAGAGAATAACCAATGTGTGCAATTGGCTTTAAACGATTTCCCAAGCATTCTGTGTCAAGTGTTCCCTTATTGTTTTTCTTTTCCATGAAAATTCTTTCACACTCCATGCAGACCATTTTGTATATGCGATAATGCTACTGTTAAGAACTTTGTAGTTGAACTAATATACCAAATCAAATTTTTTGTCTCCCAAACTTTATTGCAGAAAATCGAAACAGACTTATCAAACTCCAAGTTGAAGTTTGATTTTATAATCCTATAGAATGATTCTAACTTCCTTGCTATGGAAAGAATGCAAACTACATAAACTAGCTCAAAAAGGAAAACAAAACCAACTGAAATACTAGCTACTTAATGCATTCGATCCATGATCATTTTTCTCCTTGCTTGGTGGCATCTGGTTTATTAGTTCCTTTACTCTTGTTCTTTTCCAGCCATTTCTTATATATATATTCTACATTATCTTTTCATGTGCCCAAATTTCTTGTAAAAGAAGCACAAGAGACGTGAACGAAGAAGAGGATACGTGAACAGAGAAGAGGAAGAGAAATAAAAGGGACAAATGATGTAAATTCTAAAGTTGTTAAAGGCTATTTTTGATATTATGAAAAATTCATTAAACTCCCAAACTGATTTTCAAGAAATCCAAAATTGAAAGTAGCTATGCAGCTACTTCTCCAAACTGATTTGTCTGACAGCAATTAAGACTAAAGAGTGATTTTTATATTTATTACCAAACGGGTTGGGCTTCCAATTTTTTTTTAAAAATCACTTATTACCCCAAATAAGCAATGCCAAACGGGCATTAAGTGTAGTTTTGTCCATTTTCCTATGTTATTGTCCAAGTGTAAATATAATTTTAGCTGATGAGATCTTGTTCCCATGATTAATTTATTGCAATAAACTAAAAGGTATTTGTGGGAAAAAAAAACCTTTTTGTGTGTGTGAAATTAAGAATATATAAGGTCCACTTTTTATTTTGTGTGTGTTCATTATGTAAAAGAATTCATGTTTTTTGTGTAGTATGGAAACAATGGCGGAACCAGGAATTTATTCAGGGTCTAGCTCAATTTTTTTTTGGGTAAGGGGTCTAAAGCCCCAAAACAACATAACTAAACGCGAATGAGGCCTATAGTTTGGTCAAATTTAGAAATTCTTTTTCCAAATACGAACACATATAAGTACAACCAAACCCAGAAAAAAAAACACACAAATCAGTAGAACTAAAAATTTGAGCCAATTAATTAGCAAACAAACAACCAATGAATAAAGATTAGAAACTTGAGAAATAAAGGTGAGGTAATACCTTAGATTGCATGCAGATTGGGGAAGATTCAGAGTTTGGTACCATTAATTTAATGATGTTCTAATATATTAATGTTGTATTTGAGTTTGACGAATCACAAACAATAATGGAGTAGGGAAAAAAAGTGTAAGTTGTGTTATTTTAATGTTCTAATGTTCTACTTTTCCTTTTTTAATCTTTTTGTAAGTTATGTTTGTATGATCTTGTCCCTTTAGTTGGCTGAGAAAAAAAAAGTGCTATGTATGGCTATGAGGTAGTAGGCTAATATTTAATTGTACTACATTTCTTTATATATTTAAGCTTAAGGTGTTCCTTTCACTTGGTCCAATGGGCACAAGGATGATTCTATTATTTTTGAGAGGCTTGACAGGGTTTTAGCCAATCCTGTGGCTGACCATGTTTCCCAACTATGTGTTACTAAATCTTCCTATTTGCAGATCAGATCATGGTCCTATTATTTTGACTAGCTCTACCCCTAGAAATGATTCTCAGAAAGTTTTTAGGATGGAGGCCATGTGGCTTTCACACACTGATTTCCCTCATGTGGTAAATCAGTCTTGGTCTCAAACCTATGATGGAAACCTGGCCCAACAATTATCTAGCAGCTGTAATGTCTTCAAAAGTAGGTTAAAGAATTGGAATTATGAGATCTTTGGGAATTTATTTCAAAAACTCAAAGAAACCCAAGAACATTTGAATTTAATCTAGAGCCAACTTGCTAACTCTCCTACTTCATCTTTCCTCATCAATAAGAATAGTGAACTTAACCTCAACCTAAGATCCCTCCTTGAGAATGAAGAAATTTTCTATGCTCAAAGATCTAGGGCAAACTGGCTACAACATGGGGATAAAAACACAAAATTCTTCCAAATGTTTGCCACCATCCATAAGAAACGAAACCACATCAGTAGAATTAAAGATAATAGTGATGCTTGGAATGATACGCCTCTTTTGGGTACTGTCTTTGTTGAGGCTTTTAGGAAGCGTTTTACACAATCTGATCCTATTGCTCCTGCTAGTGTTCAGGATTTCATCAGCATTATTGATCCGTGTATCTCCACTGAGGACAACTCGATCCTCATGGCTAGTGTTTCTGAGTTGGAAGTGCTTGAAGCCGTTAAAAGCATTGGTGCACTTAAAGCACCTGGCCATGATGGTTTACATGCAATTTTTTTCCATCAGTACTGGGCTGAGACTAAGCACTTTCTCATTCACTTGGTTAGGGATTTCTTTTTGAACAATCTTCCTCTCAACCCCATCAACCACACCAATATTGCTCTTATCCTCAAGAATGATAACCTAAAGACTCTGGATCACTTTAGACCTATTAGTCTTTGTAATGTGGCCTATAAGGTTATCACAAAGATCATCATTACTCGACTGAGGCCTATCCTTGCCAAGTGTATCTCTCCCAATCAAGGAGCTTTTGCCTCGGGGAGATCCATTTTTGATAATATCTTAATTGCCCATGAATTATTTAGTGACTTTAAGAGGAAGAAAAGTTCCTGTGGAGCGATGACACTCAAATTAGACCTCAAGAAAGCCTATGACCTTTTAGACTGGAACTATATAAGAGCTTGTTTACTCAGGTTTGGGTTCAGTGCCTTTTGGTGTGACAGAGTTATGAACTGTATCTTTACGACTTCTCTCCTCAATGGCAAAACGGAAGGTTTTTTCATTCCGTCCAGAGGGATTAGGCAAGGGGATCCCCTATCCCTTTATCTTTTTATTCTCTGCATGGAACCGTGTATTAGGCAACTCAATAAGTTAACTAAGTCCACTAGAACCCAGGTTAGCTTATTGTCTTCCCCATTTGGTTATAGAATCTCTAATTTAGTCTTTGCAGATTGCCTAATTTTATCCAAAGCTATACCAATGGCGGCAAGAAAAATTCTCTCTGTCCTTAAGGCTTTCTTTAAAGCCTTCGGCCAGCACATAAACTTCCATAAATCCACAATTTATTTTCCCCCTAAAATTCTTTCAAGTGTCAAGAACAATATTAGTACTATTTTCCAAATTCAACACAGGTCCACGATTGGTAAGTATTTAGGCATCCACAACATTATTTTTTGGAAGGACCCCCAAAATGCAAGAAAGCTAATTGAAAGAATTCGATCCAAGTTTGCTAGGTGGAAAGCTAACACCCTTTCTAGAGCCGGTAAGTTGACTCTCATTAAATCAAATGTTTATGGTATGCCTAATCATGTCTTATCTGGTTTTAAGTGTCCCTCACAGGTGATTAAAGAGATGAACAGGTGTTGCAGATCTTTCTTTTGGGGCAAGGAGGGTACTCCTCTTGTTGCTTGGAAGGATGTATGTATGCCTAAAGACCGGGGTGGCCTAGGTGTGAAAATGGTAAAGCTTTTTAATCTCGATGCTCTTGCAAAGTTGGGGTGGAAATGCATTACCGACCAATCAAACTGGTGGGTTAATGTGGTTACTCAAAAATATCTTAGACATGAACTTTTTTTAATCTAAAGAAAAAAGCCAACCATTCTGTTGCTTGGAAATCTATTTTAGACGCCAGATAGGTTTTGTGCAAGGGTCTGAGGTGGGTTGTGGGAAATAGTGTTCTATTCCTTTCTAGACCTCCCATTGGGTTTTGCCTTTCCCATTCCTGGGCCTCATCCCCGAGCACCAAAGAGGCTCTTTAAATCTTGATATGAAAGTTGCAGACTTTATTACAAATAACTCTTGGGACAAGATCAAACTAGCTTTGGTGTTAGATGAGGATTTGATTGATAAAATCTTATATGTTCCTTTGCCTAGAACTAATCTATAGGATAAATTGATATGGGGTCCCAACCCCAATGGTTCCTTCACTGTCAAAAGTGCTTATAATATTCAGACGCAGGACTAGATATCCCATCCTCAAGCGGACTTGCTAAAGAAAATGTGGAAACTAAATATTCCTCCGAAAGTTAAAATTTTTGCCTGGTTGCTTATCTGAAAAAGACTTCAAGTGAGAGCTAGACTGCACAAATTTATGCCTCAGATTAGCCCTGATTGTCTATTCTGTCAAAGTCATTCTGAAACAATCCACCACCTCTTTATTGAGTGCTGCTTTGCTAGGGATGTTTGGGCTTGTTCACATGACCTCCAGCCCCTTCGGGAGCGGTCAGGCAGCATGCACACTTGGCTCTTATCACTAAGCCTTTATTCTCCCAAGTCCGAGCTGGATCTTATCTCAAAGGCTCTCCTTATTTGTTGGCAAATTTGGGAGGCTAGGAACAATTTGTTATTCCAAGACTCGAAGCCCCTCCCTGCTAACTGCATCCATGATGCGGCCACCGTGGGCTGGAAGCTAAATTCGTGGCTCAAGAAAGATAAGGATTTTTCTATGATGATTAAATGGCACCCCCCCTCCTATTGGTTGGATTAAAGTTAACTTTGATGGGTCTCACATGAACTTTCAAGCTTCCACAAGATTTGTCATATGGGATTATGATGGTCATGTCTTGTTAGCTAGTGCCAATAATATTGGTGAAAACTCCATAAATGTGGCTGGAAGTGTTGCTCTTTGGGATGGTCTTGTTGCTGCTATTGAGCGTGGTTGGGATCAAATTATTATTGAAGGTGACTCTAAGCTCGTCATTGATAGCATTCTCTAAAAAGCTACCCCCCCTTGGAGTATCCTTCAGATAACTCAGGACATTTGGTCCCTTTCTTCTTTTGTCAGCCATATTTGCTTCCAGCATGTTTTTAGGGAGGCTAACTTCACGGCCAATGCAATTGCTAAGCTGGGGCACGAGTTGCCCTCTCAAAGTTTTTGGGAGTTTGGCTTGCCATTATTAGTTTGCTCTCCCTTTTCTTTTGACCTCATTGGGTTCTCTTGCCCGATGGGCTTTGTCTTGTAATTTCTTCTCGTACATACAATATATTTTTTTATATATATTTATAAAAAAAAAAAAAAAAAAAAAAAAAAAAAAAAAAACTAAAGCCAAGTACAGCCCCTTGATAGATTCGCCCTTAAATGGAAATCATATGAAAGATACAATTTACCTACTCCCTATAATTTTTCACAATAAATAAATTAGATAAAAATAAAAATAATCCTCCAAAAGAAGCAATGTATTTATTAAGGACGTTGATTTTCCCACTAAACCATCTATGAAAACAAGGTGCGCTTTACGGAAATTAGGCCCAAAGTATTACATGGTTGTTTTTCCAGCCCATGGTATTACCTCTTGAACATCACTATAAATGCAAGTCTCGTTTTTAGTTCCTAACGCACAATTGTTCACTTTTGTTAACATAGAATGCATAGTGTTCTTCTGAAAAATAACGCGTTCGGAATGAAGACCATCTTGCTTAGCGAAGAAGATGAATGCGAAGATGATGACAATGGAGATTCACATTCAATATTTCAAGTATCGGATTGGGGATTCACCAGAAAATTTGTCTCCTCGGTGCTATATATTTTCCAAGGTTTGTTGACGGACAATCTTTTTTAAGTTGAGCTGATTCTTTGAGTTATAATTTCACACTCTTTTTTTCTAATAAACTGTCTTGAGTGATAATTTGAATTGATTTGGTTCTCTTGTCTCGTTGTATACTTGATTATTTATGTGTTTATCATACTTGGTTTTGCTTTCATGGTTGCCATTCTTCAGAAATATTAAGTTCAAATTGAAATACTATAAATAGATTCAGTTATCACACACGCATGAAGATGAGTGCCCATGAGTCGTAGCTCAAGGGAAAGGATGGTATGAGGTGAAATGTAGATTCTAGGTTCAATTCTCCGTGTAATTGAATTATGAAAGTTCGAGCATAAAGTCATATGTTCGATTACCCCCTTCCCACCCCACTAAAGAAAAATAAAATACCATTGATGCATACGAACAAATTTGGCATATGGGTTCTTTGAGTGGTTGGGCCTATCTGCAAGAGGCCATGTCCAGCCCAAAACCCCTGAACTTCAAAGTCCATTACTCAAGAGAAACAGAGGCGTGGAGAGAGAGCCATATTGGAAGCTTGGGTAAGCACGTCAAAATTTATATCCTCTCTTTAATCTTTTGTTTTTCTTGATGAACCTTAATTTCCTGCGCTCATTTTTTCTTAAAATTTAACAGGTTTAGGCATTTAACCGAAAAATAAATATTATTTTTCATGGCGAATTTAGGGGATGGCAAGGCCAGAAGGAAATCAAGACTAAAACTTGATGAAGAGTCACACATGTCTATTATATTTCCAGACCATTTTGGAGTCCTAGTTGATCTTAGCAACTTGTATATTTGTGGTTTGCTTTTAGTGAAAAGAATACTCTTGATTTGCTCTCTGTGGACGTAGGCATTGATGAACCACGTTAAAGTCTCGTCTCCTCTTTATATTGATTTTTTTTTTGCTTTTACTATCATTAATATACTAATTGTATGTGTAAGTAAACATAAGCAATTTTTATTTTGGTATTAAAAATTATTCTAGCACTACCACATTGACACATGCAACAATTGAGGGCATATGATATTGATTCAAGATCTTAGAGGGATTTAAAAAAAATTATAGGCATCTTTCTTGGAACAAGTCTATCATTTGTTTTGGAAGAGGGGCTAATTGATGGCTTCGATGTAATTCCTATGCAAGTATGTGAAAAGAAGTACGTATGGATGTTGAGTACGGTGCTCATCAATTCATAAGCTCTTTAGGAAAGAAAAGTGTACGTAACATACCAATGATTCTTTTCTTTCTTTGATTCAACGAGCCATATCTACTTGGTATTAATATTTCTGAAAAATGGAAGGTTACAATATAAACTTATATTCTGGAGTGGGCCTATATATAGACATACATATAGGAAATAGCTATACCTCTGTGTGCAACCTTCTTCTCTAGCTCAGCAAAGCTAGCAATTAGTTCTTCATGTGAGAGGCAGCTTCATCTTCAGCTCCTTCACTCCATGGCACCAGAACAATGAAATATGGATTCTGAAACGAAAAAGATCAATCCCTTAAAAAAAAAATCATGTTCTTGAGGAAATTAATCAAGAATCTGACTTCGACTTGAATGATGTAGTGTATACAATCCCTTAAAAAAAACCAAGACCTCACGCTGAGAAAGAATGCAGAGATACCAATATATTTGACTAGGCCAGTAAAATGGGTTGGGTCAAGCTAAAGGATAACCCAAGCCTTACCTGGTCTTGGTGCCCTAAGTTTTTGTCTGGCCGGGATGGGCCTATTTGGCCTTGTAAAATCACCCTTTCATTTGATAGGCCTATTCTACATCTTCTAACAAAGTGGGATTTTGGGCGTTATTAGACGAAATAAGCATTGGAAATCCATTAAATCCTCACACAATTTTAGCGATGGTTTAACCTGTCCACCATGTCAAATGATTATTGACAATACATATAATTTGCACACAATCCTAATGACACTTAAACCACAAGTGCCTTTGGTTCAAAGAATGAACTAAAATAATGTTTGTATAATACTTGGCATTTACAAATATGTTTCTTATTTTTTAAAATCCCTAATACAAGGTTGACTTATGTTCTACTCTTAGAAAAAGAGTGCTACTAAATAAACCCTAAATTTAACTGAGTACACCATATAATCGAAGTACATCCTAATATTTTAATCAAAATGTAAAATTAACTATGGGCCAGTTTGACATTGTTATGCTGCGAAAATAATCACTGTGAGAGAAATCAGCTGTGAGAGAAAGCAATTTGGCATTTGGTAAACTTTTTACTCCAAATAAGCAATGTCAAACGAGCACTAAGTACACCCTATTTAACTACCAAAAATACCCCTACACCATAATACACTCTATCACACAATATCCTAATGCCAATCCTAAATAGTTAATTATGAGTAGTTAATTCAACAAATGAAACAGACCTACTTCATAATAGGCCAAGAAATTGACAAATTCCTTATAATCTTTGGAAAAACCAAATCAAAATACACAGAGATAGCACAGGAATCAACAAGAGACCATTTGTGCTTATACCCGAGATCCAAGAAAATAATATTGGGTGAGCCCAAGACGAAGATCAAAGAGGCCAAGAAATCACACTTTCCTCTGCTCCCCCCCCCCAAAAAAAAAGGACCAAAGATTACTCCTGTTGTATCACTGGAACTCCCCCTTTTTAAATATCAATAATTATATTGCTTGAATTCATTAGCAATCATAATCAGCCAATAAAGAGAAAAGTAGCCTTCCTGATTAATAGATCAGTGGATCTAGGGATGAAATGATCGAACCATTGAAGTCTACAACAGTAAAGGGTATTGCAAAATAATGGGCTTGATTATTAGATTTTCTCTTTCTCTTCTTTGTTACTCTTGCATACTTGAATACTTCCAATCCAATCCCATTCTCCTCTGTCCTCCTTCTTTCTCTTTCTTTTATGTTTGATTAGGATCGAATATGGTGAGTATGGTGTACTTATGAAAATTATATTTGTTTCACGATTCAATATATCATTTTTGGTCATTTTATATTATGGTAAATTAGTAATTCAATAAATAATTTGGTAGTAGGGTATACTCAGTTAATTTTAGAGTTCCTTTAACTGTACTCTAGAAAAAAAAAAAGCATGTCGAGACCCGCCATAACATCATGCTAAGGCCACATGCCTATATAACTAATTAAGATAATATGTTAGCTGTAAATTACCTTAAATTCCATTATTTACTGCTTTTCTTATTTTTTCTTATTTTTCTCCCCTGTGAATGCTGATGCTTCGACCATTCAACCCCTCCCCCTCCTGATACTTCACATATGATCCAAACCACTCATACATCCAAAGCTACCACCTGCTGGTTTCACCATAACTTAAAACTTCCACCATTTCGTCACTTAAAACTAACTGCAATCCTCCATTAGTTAACAAGGAAGGATCAACAGTAGCTACCAGCATCTATCTGGATTTAGCTAATTCCTTTTTGCAATTATTTGAAACCAAACTTACCAAGCTTTTACAAGATCCAACAAACAAAAAATATCAATAACAAAAGACGCTAACATTTCGATCTCTATTTCTCGTTGAAGTTGCTTATTACAAACATGTCCAGAGTGCAACAGGTTGATGATGGATTACACTCGACATATATAATTAGAACTCACATTGAAGTCATTGTGCACAATATGGTGAAAGGGTCAAAAGGGATTGATTTGACGATTATATCCCTGGATTTAACAGTTTTTTATTTTATACAAATGGACTATTTAAGAGTACCCATATTAATGTTAGGGATCATGAGTGAAACAAAAAAACTTTAAGGATGCAATCTGATAGTTTCGCAAACATCAGGAATGTTTTGTGATAAAAAGCCTTCAATTTATATTAACATATAATAGTTTTAAGAGTTCAAATTTCTTATATTTCAATTTAATTCATATTTTCTCTTTTTGAAAATTTACCATACGAAACATTAAAAAAAAAAATCAATTTCTAGACATAATCATTTTTTTGTTCTAAAAGTCCATAATAAAAAAAATATTCCTCGTTTCATATCTATAATCATAAATATTTTGATAACTATTACAGTATTAAATAAAATAATTTTTTATGCAGTTAAAATTAGGGGACAGAAAAATCGAACACATAGTCTGGTGTAGGAGGGATTGCTCTTAATCAATTGAGTTAAAAATACATTAATTGTTTTGCTACAGTAAAAAGTCGGTTTATTTTAATTTTTTTTTTTTTTTTTTTTTTTTTTTTTTTGGTGGGTGGGTGGTTTTGATTTTTTCATGGATTTATTTATTTAAAATAAAAGTTCCTACTCTTAACTACTTGAGCTACATTACAAGCCCCTTACTTATGGGATTTATAGTATTTAATATTGATTAAAAAACAAAGCCAAATCCTAAATGATTATTGCATATTTTTAATTTTTACACCTTTTTTATAGACGCTACGCGACACTCTGGAGACAGAATCAAATATACAATCCTTGCAAATTAAACGTGAAAACCAGTGGCACCCACTTGCTTTTTCGTCCCTTCTTCCACCACCTCTTCCAGTTCCTTCTAATTCCTTTCCATTTTCAATAAAAGTTTTTTTTTTAAAGGCCGTTGTGCTTGTTTCTCTGCTACAAGCTTTTAGAACTGCACACGTTTCTCAAACAATCTCCTGCCACGGCCCTCTGCATGATTGCTACGTATCTGCCATGCCGAGCTCCATTTCTCTTTACAGCCGCTATAAATAGAGGCCATGCCCTCCGTTCCTCGCTGCAGCAGCCTAGAAGCTCAGCCATGATCTGTGTGTATCTATTTTCTCAGGAAAATAGGTAACATATGGAGAGGAAGCCCATTTTGTAACTTTGATTGGAAGTCTACTTCTTCCTTAAAAGCATGGGTACGACAAGAGATACACATAATATCTCTTTTTATATATTTTTCCTCTTCTTCTTTAGTTAGTTTTGCGTTTTTCTTTTCTTCTGGTTAATTTTTCTGTAATCTTTCTTGTTTTAACAGGTGAAGGGATGATTTGAATCAAACC